GCACCTCCATAGAGCGACCACGATTAGCGTTGTTGCGCGGGTCCTTGCAGAAATTCACAAGGGGTGAGATATGCTTAAGAGAAATACTGCTAAGACTAAAAGCCCTGCATGACCCTAAGTACAAAAAACATGGAGGTTTGGGCATTATGAGGTCATGCATGATTGTTCAACATCAAAAGGAAAATCGTACAACTCATGGCCCAGCTGTAAATAGCAGGCAGAGGGGAGCAAGAGGAGGAGGGGAGCCCAGTTGGGTTTTTCTCAAAATCTTCATTTCATAATCCCGGATTAAAAATTCGAGGCCGTAAACCGCTAAACCCTACAGCTATTATAATCCCACATATTCCCAGGCTCCCCCCGGACCCACCCCCTGTCCCCCCCAAAAAGAGAGAAAAGTCCCCAGGTCCTCGCGCATCCGCTGCAGCTCCTTCTTGAAGTACTCGGGGTCCTTCCTGAGCTGCACAGAAAGATCAGAGCCCTCATTTTGAATGGAGGAAACCTTGACACCCTAAACCCTAGATGCACTATATCTAGTCTAAACTCCTTCAAGGGAATTATATAGGGGAGTACGATAGGGTGATATTCAACGTGATACTAGGAGTTTAGACTATAGCTCATATCGCCTCAATAATGATTACAGGTCGCCAAGTACTAAGTGGTGCAGGAGTCCCTAGAAAGCGCCATTTGAGGATAGCCATTTTACAGGCAAAATAGTATGGACAGCTTTCCCTCTATACGGGGAGGAGGCTGTCACTGTATGACCCTCTTTGAGTGCCTGTTAGGGGCACTAGTATACAGGCAGGGGAACTAGAAAACACCATAAATGTGACAACCTCCAGGTCTACTTGCTCTTTCTACCTGTCTTTGTCCTGAACTCTAGACCGGATTGAGCCGATCCTAAAATAAGATTTGATATGAGAGTTTCTTTATAAGTTACCCCTATAGAACACTAAATAGGGATCCATCATCTTCTATAAATCCTACACACTCCTAACTCCTAAGGTCTTGGCGCTCTTAGTGTTGATAACCCCTCCCCCACACCCCCCTTGACTGCCAGCATGGCAGCGGTAAGCAGGGCTCCTGGATTCCAAGCTTCGAGTTGCACGCCCCCATGTGCGGTGTTGCAAGGCATATCCTTCTGATGCGTTACGAGTGAATAAGTTGAATGGAGGCAGACAACCCCCCCCTCTCCCCGGGACGCTCCAGTAGCCTCTTCCTCCCTCCCACAGACCGTGGCTATCGGCTATCTTAAGCAGACATCATCCCCTCTGCTTGCGCGAATTTATTTTTCTGTAACGTACTTCAAATGCAGTACTGGCCTAGCATATGGGAGTTATTTTCCAAGTTGCTTGTGCACATGGCTCCACTGCAGAAAGACTTTGACTAAGACACAAGGCAACGCCCCCCATAACGATATGAAACATAACTGGTGCGGATGGGAACGTTGCTAAGAGGGTGGGGTATGGCACTAAACCCTACACCCTAAACTCTAAACCCCTAAACCCTACACCCTGTTTAGTAAAGGCTCTTTTCAGCCTTACAGCTCTACGGTAACATACCTCACCTGTACTCTCTCTCAAGCAGGAAATATCTCCTTCCTGGTGCGCAGTTGCGCTTGAGTCTCGGGAGAATCAATGCATTGCAACAGACAAAAAACACACAGGCTACAACACTCAGAAACTTTGCGTTGACTTGTTAAGGTTCCAGCGCATCCCATCCCCCCTCTGGCTTCCCATTTCCACTCACCCCCTTTGAGACTACCCCTTCCCAACCCATTTGAGCTATAATCTAAACTCCGAGTATCCGCCTTTAATAAGCCCTACAATGCTCCCTGTAGAATCCCATAACCCCCTTCAAGAAGCTTAGACCCTAAACCGCATACCCTACATAATCCCCTATATGCTGTAACCCCCTGTAAGGAGTCTAGACTAGAGTACATTTTGTGGCCCGGAACCCTATGTTATCCTTATAATCCCTGTAGTTTCCGTTTTCTGTTCCATTATTCCTCTGCAACCCCTATGCAATCCCTGCAGTTTCCAGTTTTGTTTCCATCCGATTTTGTGGCCTAGACTCCCTCAACCCTCAACCCTCAGCCCTTAACCCTAAACCCTCAACCCTAATTGTGGCCAAGACTCATTTCTTCTGGCCATTTGGGATATCCAAGCTCAGCCTCGCACAGATCTTCCTGACAGGGGTCACAAAGGCCTTGATAAAGGCACGTTGGTGGACTCCCGGGTTGCCGTTAAGGAACCTAATTTGAGCTACCATTATGGGCAGATATCATAATGAATAGGGCTTCCCCAATAGCTTAATTCAAGTTCCTTAACAGCAACCCAGATCCAGAACGTAGGGCCGACTTAGGGCTCCAAACATGGACAGAGAGGGAAGGAAACATGGAGACAGAGAGAGCGGGAGAGAGAGGTGCGTTCATGTTGCAGGTGCCTTGCGTCACCCAGGCTACCTCCTTAGAAAGGCGACACCTGGAAAAACACTTTAACTGCAAGGGCAATTCTTGCTACATAAGGATTATATTCCCATATTCCCCACTAAGAACCACTTAGTGTATATATATATATATACA